AAGATGAACGGTGTTGTTGAAGCTGCGAACAAAAACATCAAGAAGATCATTCAGAAAATGACAGTTACTTACAAGGACTGGCATGAGATGTTACCATTTGCTCTGCATGGATACCGTACCACGGCACGTACTTCATCCGGGGCAACCCAATTTTCCTTAGTCTATGGCATGGAAGTTGTCTTACCCATGGAAGTTCAAATTCCTTCTTTAAGGATCATGAAGGACGCTGGTTTGAATGAAGACGATTGGATTCAGACCCGACTTGATCAACTCAATTTGATCGACGAGAAGCGACTCACTACTGTTTGCCATGGTCAAACGTATCAAAAACGGATGATCAAGGCTTTCAACAAGAAAGTCAGACGTCAAGTATATCATTCGGAGATCTCGTAATCAAGCGGATTATCTTACCTCAAAGTGATCACAAGGGCAAGTGGACTCCTACTTACAAAGGACCATTTGTGATCAAGAGTATATTTTCTGGTGGTGCAATGATTCTGACCACCATGGACGGCGACGATTTTCCGCACCCTGCGAACACGGACATAGTCAAAAGGTACTATGCATAAAATCACCCGACAAGTCGAAAACCCGAAAGGGCAGCTTAGGCAAAAATGGGCATCCCGAACCGAAAACCCGAAAGGGCGGCTCAGGCAAAAATTAGGGATAAAAACAAAAAATCTGTACACCCGGCAAGTCGAAAACCCGAAAGGGCGGCTTGGGCAAAAAGGGGTTTCCCGGTGGATTGAAAACCCGAAAGGGCGATCCAGGCAAAAGTTAGGGAATTAAAGCGTATGACTGTGTCTCGTCGGATCACTTTGAGAACAATCTCTTCATCGACCAGCTCCAAGTTTCTGATCAATCCAGTCATCAGCAGACGAAGCATTGAATGGATAGATATTCAGAGTTGTGAAGGCTATAGCAGAATGGAATCCCATGGAGTTGTTTCACATAGCCATCTTTCTTTTGTATAAAATTTTCAATCTTACGGCGACATCCTCTTACAAGGATGCCTGTCTCCTTTGTACAAAAATACTCATAGAAAGTTAATACAAATACTTTTCCAAATACAGAAATTTGCTTTGTCTTCCTTTTTCTCTTTTGCACTTATGTTTATTTGAGAAACGTCCAATGTTTTATTAAGTAGGCATATGCATTTGAACATAGTCATTTTCTTACAAATCAAGAAAGATGATTACTGATAGGTCGAAGGTACAGGTAGATATCTCGATGCCCTTTCAGAAGAAATCGCCAGCAGATTTAAAACTCCAAATTCCTCGATCCAGAACTTAATTCCCCAAAGAGTTAAACTTCAGGATCCTCAGCAGAGAAAGCTCTCTCAACATTGATTTCCCCAGCCCGAGGGCCTTCCAGAACTCAATTCCCCTCATAGATTCAGTATCCCCAGTGGAGCCTCAAAAATCTGAAAATCCAAACCCCAGTGGAGCTAAACATTCCAACTATCAATCCTCAGCGGAACCAAACTAGTGAACCTTCTCCCCACAGAGTTGCTTCCCACCAAACTAAGGATGCTCAGTCTTACTTCTCCAGCATGAGTCTATCAGATTCTGAACTCCCCAGTAGAGATCATCAGAATTCTCATTCCCTACAAGTCACCAAGGAATTCCAATTCCCTGCAGTGGTCCTAGGATCCCCTCAACAATTGAAGATCTTGCATTTCCCAAGCAGAATGAAGACTCTCATGCTCGGTTCCTCACAGGATAATCAGATATTCTCCAGTGAAGATCTCCTCAGGATAGGAATCCCCAGTAGATTGGCATACAACCCAAGCTCCTGATTCTCCAGCAGCAGTCAACAAGGATGTCTCATCCTCAGCGATCAAAGTTCTTGCAATCCCCTGCAACAATCAAAGGATTTTCAACCCCTTACAGCAGTTAAGATTCTTTTATCTCCAGCCATCCAGGATTCATCTATCCTCAGCAAGGCAGCTCTTCAGCTTACATGCGCATTCATTTACATTCATATCATAAACATTGACATAACATATATATTGCATCATACATGTCATGCAACATAACTTTGTGTTTTAGCTAACATTTCATCCTTTTCAGGATAAGATTAAAAGGCTATCATTAACAATTATTCAGATACAGTATGGATACACCCCAGACGCGGCGGTCATTCTATTACTCATTCAGAATTTATTCAGATACAGTATGGATACACCCCAGACGCGGCGGTCATTCTATTACTCATTCAGAATTTCAGTTCAGATACAGTATGGATACACCCCAGACGCGGCGGTCATTCTATTACTCATTCAGAATTTCAAGTCAGATACAGTACAGATACACCCCAGACATGGCGGTCATTCTATTACTCATTCAGACTACAACAATCAGATACAGACTAGATACACTCCAGACACGGCAGCCATTCTATCTCTCATTCAGATTCACTTATCCGCCTCAAGGTTCAATGCATTCCAAACACGGATACCATTCTGACCTTTACAACAGCAGTTTGATTCTCCCCAGTGCGTTCGTTACGGAAGTCATTCTATCATTTATTTAGATCCTAGTTACAGTTTCAAATACACTTCAAACATGGAAGTCATTCTATTACTCATACGGATCTCAATCCCAGTTACAGTTTCAGATACACTCCAGACACGGAAGTCATTCTGCTACTCATACAACTTTCAACTTCAGATACAGTCCAGATACGCTCCAGACACGGTTGCTATTCTGTCGCTCATTCAGAATTTGTCCCCAGCATGCAGTTGCTCCATACATATATTTCTCTGTTACTCAGATACAATACAGATACACTTCGGACACGGCAGTCATTCTGATATTCATTCTACCTTCAAACTCAGTTCCAGCTCAGATACGCCCCAGACACAGAGGCCATTCTTTTGCTCGTACAAACTCAGTCTCCAGATATAGTTCAAATGCATTCCAGACACGGATATCATTTTGATCCTCATTCTTCTGACCAGTCACATTGCAGTTCAACAAACATTCATATGGCATCTTTAAGCCCATCCTCGACAAGATTATGTCACCCCTCCAGATGGCATCTCTAAGCCCATCACCAAATGGCATCTCTAAGCCCATTCCCGCATCCATTGTTTTGACAAGTGCAAATTTAAGGGCACTCTAGTGTCCAATCTCCTTTTACCTTTGAGACGCGAAAGGCAAACCTGCCAATCTAACTCTTCAGGTGCAAGAAGATTGAACAGGGGCAACTGTTGTACCCCAAAATTTGCCCTCTCTTTCTTCAGGAAATCATCTTGGATTCTCAGAGTCCCTCTGAAACAAATCCAAGTCCTGAATTGTCATTTTTGCCCAAGCAAACCATTTACAAGGGAAAAATGATCACACAAGCTCTAAAGGAAACACTTTTATCTTGAGAAAAATTAAATTCTAAACATTTGGGATTCACTACAAGAAAAATGATAGATTGGGACGGTTATTTTGGCTGATTACGACGGTTAAAACCGTCGCAATTTACAATCTACGACGGTAGAAGTACCGTCGCAGAATCGTGCGTCCCCAGCCTATTTCGCGACGGTTGCAAAAACTGTCACGCACAACAGATAGCGACGGTTATATACCGTCGTGAATTTGACTTTATTTTTTGTTTTTGTTGTTGTTTGCGACGGTTATTCTACCGCCGTAGGTTAGAAATTGCGGCGGTTTTAACCGTCGTAATCTGATTTATAAATTTCAAATAATATTTTTATTTAAATTATTATTTAGTAAAATAATTTTAAATATAATATTATTTTACTATAATATTTTACTATTATATTTAAATTATTATTTACTTTAATATTTTTTTATTTATAGTATTTTTATTTTATTTTCTATCACTTTTCAACATAATAAAGTTAATTACAATAAAAACATTTAATATCAAATAATCATCAATAATATCAAAAAAATGTGATCAAAGGTAAAAAGAAGTGCAAATTTTACCAATAAACAAGAAAAATTCAAATATCATCAAACTCCAATTGTATGAAAAGTTATAAGGTACAGAAAAATCAACTACAACAAAATCTCCAATAAAATAAAATTCACTTTCCGCTAAGGAGAAACCTAATCAAATTTGGATATGTAACATGGCGTCTCAAGTTCTTTAGATATGTATGATACATAAATTGAGGACATTCTTCATATAGAAGCACGTCGACTCATTGTGAGAGCTTCAAAAACTTGGTTGATGTCTACTTGCACCATCAGTCTTCTCTATGCCCTTGTGCGAGCTAAATCAATGCCTTCCATTACTCACCAAAGCTCAGCTACAACACTACTACATTTTCCATCACAGTAATCACACAAATTATCTGGAAGATTCAAGTGGTTTAGATATTGGTTGGTTTTGATTCCATTATGATATATCATCCACACAAAAACCCTTATTCTTTTAGTAACACTCAGATTCCAAATGCCTTTCCAATGATCCTCTATATCCTTGTTCTTGGTGGAGGTATTACAAGCATTATATCCAAAAACTTCCGACTGAACATGTTCCTTAAATGGCTTCAATTCCAATTTCCATCATCATTAATTAAGTCTGCAATTGTTGTATTCACATTATCTCCAATAGGCTAATTGATGAGATCTTGGAGTCTGATTCCAGGCCCGATTTAAAAATCTAACTGATCATGTCATATGCCTTAGCTAAATCTACTTTGATGGCAAAAAAGCTCTTCTTGCTTTAAGCTTGTGCATACTGTGGAGAATCTCTTGAGTCACCATTATATTATCATGAATATTCCTCCTAGGAATATAACCTGTTTGATTCAGATAAACAAATCTATCCATACAACTGTTCAATATGTTTATAATGATTTTGCTAAAAACTTTATATATAGAGTTACAAAGGGATATTGGCCTGAAGTGATGAACATATTGAGGGTTATCTACTTTAGGTATTAGGAAAATATCTGAGCTATTTACCTCTGATATGTTAGCTGACTTGATGCATAACTCCTTGATGAAGGTACACACACTACCACCTACCAAATTTCAAGAGTTTTGATAAAAGCCTACACGGTATCCATCTGGACTTGGAGATTTCCAAGGAGCCATGTCATAAACATCATTCTTTATTTTCTCTTTCAACTCTTCATTCAACTGATCTAATATGCTTTCTTCCATGCTTGGAAAGCCACACTTGGTGTGTATCCAACCTGTAGTATCCACATCAGTTGTGTATAAGTTGAGGTAATTGTCCTTAAACATCAGAAGAGAGGCCTTCAAACACAATGTTGACCGTTTGACAGCATGAACATTTGACATGTTTGGCACCTGATGGATACGAAAGCAGACGTCTACAAGAACCACAAACCATACAATTTTCTTATAAAAGTGACTAGAGCGTGAGTGTCATTAAAAACTCAACTTGTTTTAGAGTATTTTTATAGGTTAAAACCACAATTAATTAAGACATGTGAATTTCAATGTTAGGAAATAAATTTAAATTAGATTGATGCATTTACCTGAATTGATATGTGTGAGGAAGCTTTGGATAATCGCACTTGGATGGCACATAATCAAAGAGGGAAAGCATTGGATGCTGAGCAGGTAGTTTAACTCTCCTTTTCTTGACTGTAACCACTAAAACTTGTACAATACTTTTGATGGGACTGCCACTTGGTTTTACTTTAACATACAATTTATCACCCATGAAAAATAACACACAAGCTAACAACATCAATGCAGCAGGAATTCCAAGACCAATTGCCCAGCTCACACTTGATTGTACATACACAATCAATGACAAAGAAATCATCTGAGCAAAAGTGAAGGTGAAATAATACCAATTGAAGAAACTGTTGATTCCTTTCTTTCCTGATTCTGTTTTTGGATTGAATTGATCAACACCGAATGCTAAATTACACGGTCGAATCCCTGAAGCACCTATCAAGAGTAAGCAAAACCCAGAAAATAGAAACGTCATTTGTCCCGCTGTTGGTCCAATGCATGTGCTACTTTCCTTTGCACAGGATGGTGGATGCAGATTCTTGAATACAGCTGTAAGTTGTATTGCAAGTAATCCCTGTTTCAATGAAAGAAAACCATTAATATATTTTTTTTTAACTTTTATGAAAATCAAAACGACAAAAACTGAATGTCAGTAAATCGTAACAGCAAGTCACTTGCTGCATAAATTTTCTTAAATTCTCAGTGACAGTACAGACATGCAGGGTGTCAGTGCATCTAAAAAACTTGTCTCCAGATGTATATTAAATTAATAATCTTATATTTTTTTATCAAGCTAACTGTAAGAATAAATACCAGAAAGGAAGTGATGATGCAGAATCCTAATGTGTTGTAACGGCCGAAATATGTGTCAGAGACGAAAGCACCAAGCAAGGTAGCAACGTTGGTACTGCCATTGAAGATGTTGATGATGTTTGTAGCTGTGACGTTGTTTAGGTTGAATACAGTTGTAAGATACACCAACAGGTTCAGTAATGTTCCAATGGCTCCCAATTTCTCAAATGTTTCATTTCCTGTACATCAAAATTTTCAACCATAATTAGACTAAAAAACACTGTTTGTAAGAGAGTACATGTTTTTCTACTTCTTAGTTTAGTTACCTATAATGTAAGGCATGACCTTCCAACCTCTGTAGATGAGCTTAGAATCATCATCAATTTCATGTTTTTCACTCATCTCAAAGCTTTCTTTCTCAATTTTTTTCATTGTTGTTTCACTCTCTCCCATTATTCACAGTTATGTATGCACGTTCAAGATAAAAAGAAGCAAAGAGAAAGTAAACTTGCCTTCAAACACAATGTTGACCGTTTGACAGCATGAACATTTGACATGTTTGGCACCTGATGAAAGAAATGAATCCCCTGACAGTGGTGCAGTTGGTGCAAGACTATCGACCGATGCTTCAACTGTGAAAAGTCTTGTTGGTGACACATTGGCTCTTATTGTGCAAAACATATCAACAATCACAGCTGGTCTGGTTGTAGCATTCACTGCTAATTGGATTCTCGCTTTTATAGTTTTGGCTGTGTCACCAGTGGTTCTCGTGCAAGGAATCATTCAGATGAAGTTTCTCAAAGGATTCAGCGGAGATGCCAAGGTTTGCATTACTTTTGGTTTCGTCCATTAGAGGGTTATAAATTGTGTAAATCATGACTCTTTTTTTTCCCTTTATCTATGTAGGTGATGTATGAACAGGCAAGTCAAGTGGCAAATGACGCTGTTAGTAGCATCCGAACTGTTGCATCATTTTGCGCAGAATCAAAGGTTATGGATATGTATCGAAAGAAATGTTCAGGGCCAGAAAAACAAGGTGTTCGTTCGGGGCTTGTAAGTGGCGCAGGATTCGGCTTCTCTTTTGTGGCTCTATATTGCATGACTGCTTTTTGCTTCTACATAGGAGCTGTTCTAGTGCAGCATGATAAAGCCACTTTTCAAGAGGTTTTCAAGGTACAACACCAATCAATAAATCAACTTAATATTCACAACATATTTACTCAATGCTATTTACTCGATGCTTCTTTCGACATTCTCATGAGAGATTTCATGCAGGTTTTCTTCAGTTTAACTATAACAGCAGTTGGCATTTCTCAGTCTAGTACTTTGGCACCAGACACTAATAAGGCGAAAGATTCTGCCGCTTCAATATTCAAAATTCTAGACAGTAAACCTACAATTGACTCTAGTAGCAATGCAGGCGAAACATCAGAAACAGTTACAGGTGATATGGAACTTCAACATGTCTGCGATTTGCAATTGCAGATTGTTAAAATTCCTCTTTGCAATAGTGCTATAGCACTACTATAACCGCCACATGACAACATTTTGTACTAAATACCGTATCTCAAAACAATGGAGGCCGCGATTTGACAACATTCGTTAAAATTTACTTGTCCAATCATTGAAGAACAAAGACTAGAAATAAAACAATGATCGTGCAGTAGGTGATTAATAACAGTGCATAATTTAGAAAAATACAAATTATATAGTAAAATCCATTAGGGTATCTTTGAATATTGAAAGAGAGTGAAGGGAATAGAAAAACAACAAATTCCAAGCAAAACAAGCATAGCAAAAGTGATTTTACCTTACAGACAGCAAACATAAAAGTAGCACCGCAACAGAGCCTACAAAACGCAGATATGGTTAAACTCTAAGCCCATTCAACCACATTTCTTAACACAAATAAAATAAAAGGTCATGTGAAACAAATTGTTAAGTTTAATTCAGTGGAAAACTATAATCAGAATATTTCATGATTAAGAATATGCAGAGAATGAGTTGAAGTTTTAATTAAGTAAGAAAATAGAAAAGATAATGCGTACGGCATAGGAGTGGAACAGAAGGTTGACGGAGAAGCACGCCGGCGCTACATGTGAGATTGTTCCAAAGTTTCCTACAGTATCTGAAGTAATCCTTGTTCCCTTTCAGCACCTCCCTATGTAATTTATGGACAATTAGAGTTTAATTGGACAGAAAAAAGTGACCACCAACAACACCATTATTTTATAGGACACCTCACTTGTCAATGTTGATTATTGTCAGTTAGAGATAAAACACTGACATCAGTTCTAGAACAATTGAGATTTCAAAATTAATAATGTAGTTTAGTTCTATAATGTGAATGATTAAGTGGTTAACTTTATCTTCAGGACCTTTGACAATAATGGAATAAAGTTTAATAACTTGGGTGAAAGCAATATAAAGCAAAAACTGTTCATATGCATCAATTTCTAGATAAAAACCTTTATCTTCTCTATAACCCTAATTTTCATCAAGCAAAGTTACATTAAGATAAAATTATAGCTAACACAATAAGGGTTTTTGCTTCTGAATTGAATCATAGAAAAAAGAAACATAACCTGTTTGATAGCACTGGAAACAGAGAGAGTGGTGCTTTGATTGAGGCATTCAACACCAATCCAATCTATGAAGCCTAAGAGATCAACCTAATCAAGAGTATATGAACTAGGTTAGAAGTTGTGTACCCTAAATCAAATAAGATAAACTTGACGATGATCATAATAGTGAATGATAGAGTTTGAATCTTACTTGACCCTTGTGAATAGCGGTGGCGGATTCTCCAGACATTGCTGCTGATTTGTGCGACACGGAATACCTTCTTTGTGCGACTTCAAAAAGAGATCTTCCCCTTTGCTTAGCAATCGAAGGAGGCCAGTACGAAGACCTCTAGAGGACATTTGATTCTTTCGATTGGATATCTCAGATCTGACACGTAGTCGTCTTTATGTACAAAGGAGTTTGTGATTCTGAAAAGAAAAGGAAATTGCGGTAGAATTTGAGAATCTTAGCGCGTAAATTGAAAGAACGTTACGAAAGGTTGAGAACGATCATAAATCTGAGCGGGGTCGGTTCTTAAACCGTCGTGGGATATGATACGTTCCAGCCAAAGGGACGGTGAAAGGAACCGTCGTGGGATATGCTATAATTCTATTTTTTATTGAATATATATTGACATTACTATTATATTATTTAAATACTACTAATATTAATATAGTTACTATTATATTATATAACTACTATTAATATAATTAATAGTTAGTAAGTAATATTATAATACTAATATTATAATTAATTAATTACTATTATTATATTTAATTAATAAAAGTGAAAAGATGGAAAAATAAAACAAATGGAAAAAGTGAGAAAATAAAATAATAACAAAATAATAATTATGATTGGTCAAAGTAGTCGCGACAATCTGTTATACTGGTCGCGAGTGTGGAAAGAGGGCAGTTCTTTGGCAACTGTCTCAATTATGTTACTCAATATGCTTAAAAATCTACGACGGTTGGCTCTAACTGTCGTGACAACTGTCGCAGTCCAAGAATAAGGACAGATTTATGGGAACCGTCGCAACTCATGTGTCGTAAAACTCATTTTTTCTTGTAGTGATTACAAGGTTGCATTAACCGTATCACAGAACTAGCGACTCTGCTGGGGAATTGATTTAAAAGTGGAGTAACTGACTTGATACGGTGGGAGAACTGACTTTAGAATTTAATTTTTAGAATTTAATTTTTCTCAAGATAAAAGTGTTGCCTTTAGAGCTTGTGTGATCATTTTGCCCTTGTAAATGGTTTGCTTGGGCAAAAGTGACAATTCAGGACTTGGATTTGTTTCAGAGGGACTCTGAGAATCCAAGATGATTTCCTGAAGAAAGAGAGGGCAAATTTTGGGGTACAACACCTTCCATTCTTCTATTTAAGCACAATAATGCAACCTCAAAAGGACAAAAATCCTTGCATACAAGAGCTCTCTCAAAATTCTCAAAAATCAAAGAAAAGTTGCAAAATCTGTAACTTCACTTATAGGCGCTATCAATCCAAACCAAGGCCATCAATATACTCTTGAGACCTCCAAGAGTCATATCCAGTCCTCACATAGGCTTGAAGCACGCCAAAACCTATCCTCCCATTCACGATGGTTGGTAAGTGTGGTGAAGATTTTAAACTTTGATCTCGGGCATTATTAACCTTGCTGACATGATTAATCTGTTCATATGCATCATTGAAATGTATTTGACGTTTTACATGGGAGTCTTTATGCAGAAATAAGAACGTGCCATTGTTAGGGCACGGAGCGTTTAAAGATTCGGATCTCATGTTACATGTGTCTTTAGGCCAAACTAATAACACCACTAAGATCGCAGGATCCAATATACTGGATCTAGAGTTTTTCCTTTTTTGTTTGATTGATTTTTCCAGTTTTGAAGAAAACCTCCCATCGGAGATGATGGTGTTTTCCACCCTCCATGGTGGTTTGAAAAACGCAGAGGAGGTCAATGCAGGGGTGGCAGAATGAAATGTCATGATTGGCCCATTGCTTTTTTTATTATTATTTGATTTGCATAACTAATACTTTCCATTTTAAAAAATTAGTTTTATTTTAATAAACAAAAAATCAGAAAATCACAAAAATATTAGATTTAAATTTTTATTAATTAAATTAATTTTTATTAATTATTTAATCACCCTTTTTTAATTAATTAACTCATTATAATTAGATTCTCGTAATTTAATTATATTTCCAAATTAAAAACAAAAAAAAAACAATTTTCCAATGCTTAGAACTCGTTTGTGGTTTTTCATCTTTTGCCTTTTCTCCTCAGCCCGTTTGTTTGTTTTATTCGCATTATTTTCATGGATTATGTAATTGTACAAAGGGATGTAATAGTTTAAACTAAGACTTTTTACATTTTTCTTTCCCCCATTTTTGGTTTGTATTCCCCCCATCCCGAAGCGATGTAATAGCGTAGTTTAAATTTCTGCATTTTTTATTTTTCTACACTTGTATATATTTAACTGCTAGATGTATGCTAATAGGTATGGCATGATAATACTTAAAAGCAAATGTTAGAAAACCTAACATTCAAGACAAATATAACTGAAACACAACACACTTCGCACATGCGCACCTCTAAGGTACCTCCACTTGTTGCCTTCAGAAAAATAGTCATGTCCCTCGAACGTGGGATGTTTTAGCAAAGACCTTCGGTTAAAAAGATTGTAGTCTATCGATTACCCTTCGATGCTGCCTTCGGTAAACGATCTAGTCCCTTACGATAAAATTACTAAAGTTCCCTATGAGTTGCCTTTGTGATTGTATGATGACCCGCACTTGTCCCTCAAACATCCAATGATAGGGCTACTCACCAACTAATGGTGGGATAGCACTATGTGAAGGAAAAGAGGAAAAGAACAAAGATCATTTGAGTAGGTAGACAGCTCATAGTTGCTTGCTCACAAAACAAAACAAAATTTCTCATACATACACTCTCTTTTTCTAAATATTTTCAAAGACAAAAGCACTTTGTATGTATTCTCCACGATATGAGAAACATTACAAAGTTCGCCCACTAAGGCCTCTTTTCAAAATATTTTCAAAATACACTTACACAAAAAGCATTTTTAAAGTGAGCTAGCAACTAAGAACTCGTAGATAACTACGGATGGAAAGGGTGCTAACACCTTCCCTTTCCATAACCTACCCCCTGAAATCAAAATCTTTAAAAGGTATTTCATGTTCTTTTCACCCTTTCCTTTGTTGGATAAAAGAAAAGTCGGTGGTGACTCTTTCTAACTGCAACATTTGCGATAAAATGCAAAATCAGTAAAGTCATTTCTCCCACCGTATTACAAAACTGGCGACTCTGCTGTGTAAAATCTAAAAATGGGGTTACCTTAGAGCTAGATCATATTTAAAATTCTTAACTTGTTTGAATTTCTTGCTTTACATTTCGGGTTTATGTTTGGGTTATTCTTAAACATCCTATACCCGGATCTGGGGCACTTTAGGTTAGTAGCAATAGATCGTGGGGACTATGCAGCATAATACCGACATGGTTGGAGCGATGGCTACGTTATTGTGACACATTTGTTGGTACTGGTATTCTTTGAGTCCAGTCGAGGAAAATATGGGGTCGTTGTGTGGTGTCATAAAGCACTAACTGACCGTAGAACCTTAGTTTAACAACTTGGCCATTACAAAGTTGTGAGATAGACGGCCTTGGTACAAGACTAAAGTTTGTTGATACTCGATACTACACTCATTGAGATCGTACTTTCGGGATATATCGTTCGCTAATAAAGAAGCTTGTGCTGAAACAATGCCCGAGAGAAAGATCAATGATATTTAGATTCCTTAGAACCCGGTTACTTTCTTTAGGATAGGTTGAACCAACTAAACATTAAGAGGGTACTTACCTACAAACCCCATGCAAGCTTAAACGTAAGGCCTTGTGTGTCTTGCTTGTGTGTGATTATTTGTTCAAACATGACATCATGCATCATCACATCCATGTTCATTTTCACTAACCATTTCAAGGATCTCAAAGGACCTCTGAGGCAGGTTATGATAAACCAGACATCTAGCAAGGGGCAAGGAGATTTATATTCCTCTAGCCAATTTCGTCGAAGCATGATGTCTTGAGTCACTGGCTAGGACCCACTTGACATGGTGAGCTTGATCCTCATAGAAGGGCATTCAAAGACACAAAGTTCTTCAGTCAAACCTGCAACAACTTCTAACAGTTCACTTTTCTCTATCCTACGAGATCGTTGAAAACATTGCATGCATGTCATTACATAACAGATATTCTCAAGACATGTTTCTCTTTTTCTCGCTATTTATTTCAGCAAGGAAAATGGCTCTCGAAGAGAATGACAGAGATCTCCAAAGTAAAGATGCTCAGTTTGAGGAAATGTTCTTAAATCTATCTGTAATACGGTGGGAGAACTGACTTGGGTGTTTTGCGTTTGATCGCAATTGTTGCGGATAGCAAGAGTCACCACCAACTTTTCTTTTATCCAATAAAGGAAAGGGTGAAAAGAACAGGAAATACCTTTGAGATATTTTCTTGAGTTCGGGGGGGGGGGGGGGGGGGGGGGTAGGTTATAAAAAGGGAAGGTGTTAGCACCCTTTTCATTCGTAGTTATCTACGGGCTCTTAGTTGCTTGCTAGATCATTTGAAAACTGCTTTGTTTGAAAATATGTTTGTGATTGGTGCAAGTTTGAAAATATTTTGAAAACGCCTTTGTTTCAGCAAACTTTGTAATGATTTTCGTATCTATAAGAATGTATACAAAGTGTTGGTTTTTAAAATAATTCAAAGAGATTTTTGTTTTTGAAGATGTTTTTGAAAGTATAAGTGTGGAAGAGGTTTTAGTTTGTGAGCAAGCAACTACGACCGTCCTACCTACTCAAAAGGTCTTTGTTCTTTTCCTCCTCCTTTAGATGTTGCTATCTTACTATTGATTGGTAAGAAGCCCCATCATTGGATGTGAAGGGACAGGCATGGGTTATCGTATGGTCATGAATGGAAATATTGTGAGATATCTTAGCATTTCTCTTAAGGGACTAAGATCATTTGTAAGGCAACATTTGTAGCGTCATCGAGGGACTATGATTTTGTATTTTGATTATTTTTGCTAAGATGGCTCACATGCACATCATGACTATTTTTCTCAAGGCAACAAGTGGAGTTAACCCTAGAGGTGTAACTGTGCAAGTGTTTTTGATTGCATGCATTTTTATCTCTGAGATTAGGGTTTTCTAAGGTTGGTTTTTTT